TTTTTTTTTTTTTTTTTTTTTAACTATGGGACCCATGGACCTCTCAAATGGAGCAATTGCTGACTAGGTGAGGGCTGTGGCATCATTTTAACTACAACACACGCAAAGTTGCAGTAACAAGAATGATTTGTAAATTCAGACGTCTTGAATTTGAATCTTAAAAATTCTTTAGGATTAGGTCGTGAGAGGTTTATCTCTCATGAATACCCTAATTCCGACGTGGATGATTTTTTTTCAACCGAATTAAAGAGATGATTAGTCGAAGGGTACGTAAACCGACTTAGATACTCATGTCTGTTGAATCCAAAAAAAAAAAAAAATTAATTCAGACAACATGAATAATGTTAATATTCCCACAATCACCTTCTAAATTAAACGTATAGCAAAGACTATATGATAGATTAGAACAGTCAAAAATATAGCTGATATGAACAAATTACAAAAGACTCCATTTTGAAAAGTTTTCGATAATTTGAGCAAGAAATGACGTTTATGACACTTTTATGTTTTTATCCCAACATTTAGAGTATTTTTATAATATTACTTATTTGTTTGGTTTTTTGATAATTTAGGACCAATTTAATTATTTTGAATAACATGTAAAGATGTGTTCTCTTTCAATTCTTAATTGTCTTGGTATTCTTAGGAATCAACAAAACCCTTGAGAGCTGTAATATGATATTATTAGAATAATCATTAAATTAGAGTTTTTGTTATCTAATCCAATTCTTCTCTTTACACTTCCCTAATGGGGATAAGATTAATATGTTCCATCCAACTCAGCCCTACCTAATCTAACCCAACCGGTTGAAAGCGATTTTTTTTCTTTAAACAATCTAGTGTTTTATTAACACACTAAAGATTGTCTGTGCATAAAGGCACTACATTAAATAAAAAATTTATCAATATTTAACAGCAATAATTTATTTTCAAAAAATGTTTTCTCTATTCTTTTAAAAAATTATGTCAACACTTCTCAAAATAATGCTTTCTATACTTAAATTTATAAGTATCATTGACACACAAACTCATTACCTAACCAATCTTGAAAATAAATGAATTAAAAATAAGATCATATTACAACGACCACTTATCATTTTCGTATTTTTCATGATATTGCCCTTGTCAGATTTTATAGCTGGAACCATTGAGAATGTTGGTTAGCCAATCGATGTGGCAATCTTAATCTTAATGCCAAATTAGTCATACAGTTTAAAAAATAACATAGCTACATATAGGAGACATCAAAATATACAGTAAGTGATTTCGTTAAACTTTAATTTGGTTCTAAGTCAAAACAAAATGACATTGTAAAAAGTGTTATCTACGTTCCTGATGGATCACTTACATTCCTTCTTTAAACCTAACATCTTTTTATATGTTTGTGGATAGAGAGAATGCACACACACACAAACCAAACACACGTAACACATAACACAAAAAACTCACACACAAAGAACACACACACACACACAGAAATGTGTGTGTGTGTGTGTGTGAGAGAGAGAGAGAGAGAGAGAGCACAACGCACACAGAAACATAATCCCTACACCACACGCAGGCACACTGAACACATACACACACATATAAAAACAAAGAAAAATGCATAGTATAAGAGAGAGAGAGAGATGGGAACACTGTGACTGAGGCAATGGGAGAGTAAGAAAGAAGGGAGGCTGGGGTGGTAATTGTGGGTTATAGATGGAGAGAGGGGGGGGGGAATGGGGGTAATTGGGGTGAATGGGCAGAATTAGGGGTTACGGTTAAGGAAACATTAAAATTAGTTTAGGCGAGAAAACAAAATTTGAAGAGTGGATTTCAATCTTTGGATCAAAATTGAAAGAGTGGATTTAAATTGATTTGAACCACAAAAAATATAAATCATTTTTCATCTACTTTAGAATTTAAAATGCTTGTACTTTATTGTATTTTCATGTGTAGCATTTTTCATACTTTATTATATAAATATGAAACGTTATAGGTCCCATAGATAAACCAAATGTAATGTATGCTCCTCTAGACTTATTGGACGACCATTTTACTGTCATGTCCATTAAGCAATTATTGTTTAATCAATTCAGAGGCATATTCATAGTAACATTGTGTTATTTTCATTGTTCATCGTGGCCTTGAATTCATAGTCCTATACCAAATAAATTTCCCAAAGGTGGGAAATGTGGGCCCATAACTTGTTTTTCTCCAATCCTAATCCTTCCTTTTACTTACCCAAAATAAAAAACTTTCAGACTGAAGAATAGCAAAGATTCAATTCGTCTGAGCTCAATGCAAACATATTCATGGTGGTGTCTTCCATCATGACCAAAATGCACATCATTGTCCGGTTTCCCTTATCTATAATACACAATAATTTATCAGTATTTCTCTTCAAAGAGAGGAAATTACAATAGAATTAGATGCCACCATGATGTTAACTGTATGTAACACAGTTGCCATGTGATAAATTATGATGGTAGAAATCAGGTAGAACAAAACATTTATCTCTCTTGCAGTTTAAACATATGGATCGGGGGAAGGGACATAACGAGGTCAATCGTCACTTAAAAATATAAAACATCTCTCCTATTATAAACCAATTAGTTTTCGAAAAAAAAATAATTTGTGCTGATTGGTACCATATGATGTATAAGTGAGGCAGATCCTTTGGCAAAGTACATTAGCCTCAGCCTAGTGTGACAAGATGTGTACAAAACATGCTCTAGGTAACAGACTTCTTGTTGGTGTAGTTAGCCAAATCATTGCAATGGGTTTGAATTCTATATCTTAAGATAGCAAATTTTCAAGATTTTTGTTGTTTTTGGAAGAAATGAATTTTTCTTTAGTATTATAATCTACTGAGAGTTTATTTAGCAAATAATTTGTATCTTATATTTAAATATTACATAAAAAAAAACTAGTTAGGTCCTGTTCTTTGGGTTGGCCCAATGTTAGCAGTTGATCAGATATTCAAGTTAAGTCACGGTCAAAATGAACTTAATATATACCTAGACCAAATTTGCTATAGTAAATTCACTAGTTTCAGTTGACGTTGCAGCCATTAGCTGATGTATCTGCAGGAGGCACCAATGAANTTTTCTTTTTTTTGGGAGAGGGGGAGACCTTGAAGACTTAAATCACTTACTCGTCATTGATGAAAAGGTTGGTGTTATTTGGTGTTTTCTATTAAAAATAAATGGTCATCCACTACACTCCAATCAAACATTTGGGTAGTTCTTTTATACTTCGGAAGTCTCCATTATTTATGAAATGATGGTCCTGCTGCTTTAGACTAATCCTAACTTTTTGGTTGTTTTTTTGTTTCCAGGAAAATAAGACCAAAGATGACTATCTCAGTCTTTTGGAAGATAATGGTCCTGGCTCTCCTCGAGTAATGCTCTATACAACTTACATATATGTTTGCGCATATATATATACATGGCTTCGTAATGTTCTATTTAACCTAGATACATTTGTGTGTGTGTGTATATATATATATGCATATAAGCCAACCACCTTTTCAACTTTCCCCGGGTTAAAGCTGCAGTTAGCCCAATTAGTGTAGGATCTTAGTACTCAGAGACCTAATGGCAGTTTGGATTAAAAAGTTCTAAATTTCAATCACATAAGAAATATTCATTTATTTAATACACATGATTTACACGTAATTGCATGCATGCTAAGTTAAAATAGCATTCGTGAGTTCAAAAAACATAGAACACTTCTTTGCTATAAAGAAAGAAGACTGAGACAATAATCCGCTTGTTGGAGCTTTAACTGTACAAATTCAAGCTCAACTACTTGAGGCCTATGTTAGTCAAATCAAACATGACACCAATAGATAGACATTGATTTTGGATTGATTATTTTTTGACATGCGAGCCATGACATAAGGTGAATACATGCTTGCATTTTACACTTATATCCTTCCCCCACAGGCTGAATCAGAAAAGTGACTACCTCCCTTTATGGGGCCCACTGCATCTTAGACCTCATGTTATGCCAAGTTTTTACTTGCAAATAGCAAAGTGGTTTGTGATTCATCATTCATCCTCCATACTGCTAAACCGCTGTGGCATGCATCAAGTATGTACAACTTATGACATAGTTCACAACCAGTACAAGAAAGAAGTCTAACGATCATACTTTGATACTTGTTCATTTTATTATCAAATGTCAGGCCAATTTTGGATCAGAACTTATCCTTCTTGGGGATGAAACTGACATCAGCATCATATGTTTCTGCAATTATGAATGCTGTTCCAGCCATTACCTTTGTGATTGCAGTTATTTTCCGGTAAGATCAGATGAACTCCATCAAGATACCAAAAAGCTGTCAATCAATCCAATTGTGTCATGTCAAAATTTTTTAAATTCATGTTTGACCAATATGTAATTTTGTATGGTCAGTTTGTGTTAAGTTCATAGAGCATATAAGTCTTGCTATTGCATGTTCTATTTGCGTAGAAGGCACAATCTGATTTGTCGTAAAATAATCATAACAACATTCTTGAATGCTGGCAAAAGGTCACAGAGGCATTATGTCGAACAGAAAGTACACTATTAGATAACCTCATTGGAATTTTTAATTTTTTTCTCCACGAGAAATGTTAGATAAATTTAAAAACTAGACTTAAAAATTATACTTGATAATCTCAACCATTGAATAGATAGTGAATCCCAATAAATGTTGAGACCCACAGTAAAATCAATGGTTGAAATTATCAAGTCTAATTTTTAAGTCCATGTACCGTTGCTCTTTCTCCATATTTACTCCAATAATAATGGGAAAAATAAAAGTAGATGGTGGGTGAAAGGAGAAAGATGAATGACTTATTAATGGTGAGGTCACCTTCCACTAAAGTTGCATCTTGTCACAAAAGCATCATGCCCAATTAAGGGATTTGGATTATTAAACTTCTACTTATGTAATCTTACTTGTGATATTGTCAACATTTTGTATTTCATTCTGATTCGTGCACAATTTGACATAAAACCCATAGGACAAGATTTCTTGGGTCTGAGCAAAGGGGTAACCCAAACACAATTTTTTTTTTTTTTTGGTTAATCTAATTTTTGAAAATCCAATCAAATTATAAAATTAGTTTGGAAGAATTATACCTAAACCTTCTGAAGTTTGTCAATTAATCACTCAGACCCACTGACATTTGAAAAATTACACGCAGATCCCCCGAAATTTGTACGCACGTAACACTTAGACTCTTGCTATAAATAAATCAGTTAATAAATTATACTTAAACCCTATGAAGTGTGTAGGTATATAATACTTAGACCTTTAAATTTAAAATATTATATTTAGACAAAAAATACTCCAATAAAAGATGAAATATCAAATATTTTAAATTTCACAACTAAAATTTGTGTTCTATTGTATAATTTATTAAAATAAAATAAAAAAATAATAATTTTTTTCTTAAAAAATTATAATTAGTATACAATTATATTGTCTATTAGAATTTAATTTGGTCGTTTAAACGATCAAATTAAAATACCAAGTTGCCCCAATTAAAGTTAAAAGATATTGTGTTCATTACAGTTTAACCCTTGTTTAATTTTTTTAGTTTTATTGTAATAAATAGTATAATTATATATTAACTATGATTTTTTTTAAAAAAAATAGACTTTTATTTTTAATTTTATTTCAATAAATGACGTAATAAAACATGAATTTTGGATGTAAAATTCATGTTCTATTATAAATGACTTAGACCCCTTGTTTGATTTTTTAGTTTTATTCCAATAGATAATATAATTGTATACTAATTACGATTTTTTTAAAAAAAATTAAATTTTTAATTTTAATTTTATTTTAATAAATGATATGATAAAACATGAATTTTGGTTGTAAAATTTAAAATATTTAATATTCTATGTTTGATTAGAGTATTTTTGGTCTAACTATAACATTTTAAATTTAAGAGGTTAAGTATTATATACCTACAAACTTTAGGAGGATCTAAGTATAATTTATTAACGAATATATTTATATTATATTTACACGCGTACAAATTTCAGGGAATCTGTGTGTAATATTTCAAATATCAGGGATTTGAGTGATTAAGTGACAAATCTCAGAGGTCTAAGTGTAATTCTCTCAATTAATTTTTTTTAAGGGAAATTCATAATAAAGTCGTGGCATACAGAATTAGTTGTTCTCTAACTTTTATTCCGTTTGAAAAACTCTTTGTAATCTCCATGGTTTATAAGAATTGCTTATATACTTTAGAATCAAACCACAATAATTTAAAGTATTCAATTTTTTTCTGTGCCGTTTTAGTATTTTTATTTTTGTGATCTCATGCATAACACATGATGATATCGTCCAAACAGGTTGGAGCTTGTAAAGATTAAAGAACGACGCAGTCAGGCTAAGGTTGTCGGAACCCTAGTAACATTTGCAGGGGCATTAGTAATGGCATTGTATAAAGGACCCATAATCGATCTATTTTGGACCCCGAAAGCAAGCCACTTTGTAAATAGCAGCGAGTCATCTGGCCAACATTGGGTCGTCGGGACACTCTGCATCCTTGTTGGTTGTCTCGCATGGTCTGCTTTCTTCATACTTCAAGTAAGCTTTTTTACCTGAATATAAGATACGGTACTGAAATTTGGTCCAGTCTTGAATAATTTGTAACTGTTAATTAAAAAAACCATAGAATAACAAGAAATTTATACGAATCGTATTTTTATTAGATGAAAAATTACAGTAGGACACTAAAATGCTGTGTTGATGACTGTCCTTGTCCAGTCGATTACACTGAAGGAATACCCGGCCGAGCTGTCTCTGGCATTCTGGATATGCTTGATGGGCACAGTGCAAAGCGCGGCATTGACTCTAGTGGCTGAGCATAGTCACCCTGGCGTCTGGGCGATTGGCTTCGACTCCAGGCTCCTCGCTCCCGTTTACATAGTAAGCCTCTTCCTCTTCTTTTGTATAAAGTTTCTTTATGCCTCCAAAAATCAATCCATTTTGATTCGGCTGTCAATGTTTCAGGGTATAGTAGCCTCCGCAGTGGGTTACTACGTTCAAGGCGTGGTGATGAAGACAAGGGGTCCAGTGTTTGTAACAGCCTTCAACCCACTGTGTATGATCATTGTTGCTGCTCTCGGATCTGTTGTTCTAGCCGAGAAACTTCATCTTGGAAGGTATATACCAAACCAAACCAAGTGTTCCAAATTCCCTTTTCTTTTTTTCTTTTTTTGCATTGGTCCATTCATCCATTGTAGTTGTGTTCTCCGATGTGGCCCAACACACTCTTTCCACCAATTAATATTATAAGTGGTATTATATGAATGGCTACAACTTATAAACGTCAATTTGAATGTTTAATTCAAAAAAATGGACTAATCTTTTCCCCTTTAACGTGTGAATGTTTTTTTTTCCTGATCTTACCTCAGTGTAATTGGAGCAATTATCATAGCAATCGGCCTTTATGCTGTTGTTTGGGGTAAAAGCAAAGATCTTATCGACTCCCAGCCACCAAGTGATGAAAAGGGTGAAGCCAGTGAACTTCCGATCACCAAAACGGATAGCATTAAGCTGGTGATTTTCGATGATAAACACGCAGGGAAATCAGAAAAGAAGTAGTTTTCTCAATGCCTTAACCTTCTGGAGACTCCTCCACATTTAGTGGAAGGAGTTGTTGCTAAAAATCAAATATGTAGTGAAATAGAATAAGAGATATGTCATCATCAATATTGAGAGGAAGTAGTGTGTATTGTTCAATTTTGGCAATGTATCTGTTTATTCCATATATAAAAGTGAACTGTTTAAGGTGTCGGACAAAATTCAAATTAGTTTCTTGCCAAAGTCATACATAAATTCCACATTAAAAGATGGATTTGACTTCATTTTGTAATTTCTTTTTTGGCCTTTACGGGAAATAATTATCATTATCTATGAGCATCTTCAATAGTCTCTCTCTCAAATAAATTGTACTATTGGAGATACTATGAACCCATCCATCATTTCAGAACTATCAAGCATGCTTACACCGTCTCTATTTAATGGAAGTTCTGTAGGAAGGGGCGGAGGGAGGCATGAGCGAGGGTGGGTAAGTGTCCTTAAAAAAAAAAATTAATAGTTCGATAAAAAAATATATATTTATATAATATATTATTTGTATCTACCCAAAACCGAAGATAAAAATATTATGTCCACATTATTTACCCAAAAGAAATAAAAAATTAAGCGTATTTAAAATAAAAAAAATTGAGCTCACAATTATCAAACTTATTAAGAAGTGAAAATTGAGGGTGAGTCTTCCTAGATGGACTTATAATGACTTGAGACATGGAAGTAAACTTATTTTGAGGTATTTAAACTTATATGTAGGTACTTAAATTCACTTATTTTTTAAATCTCAAAATTACTCAAAACGGTATTAGTTTTGTCCAGTTATGTAAAGTCACATAGGTTAGATCATTAAGGTATATATATGGAAACCCTTGATTGAGTGATATATGTGAACCATTTATTAAATATTTATGATAATTAACAGAAGTTTTAAATGGAAATTATATATTATGGTAATTATTTTCAGGAAGCTGAATGTACAAATAAATTGTTGGTCTATTAAGTCAAAATCAGATCACAAATTTTTTTTTACAATAGTAATACATAATATAGGGATGCTGAACAATGTCAACAGAATTCTGTAAAACGAATGTTAATATATAGTAACATTCATTTTACTATATAATTAAAGTTACAATTAGGGTCATATTATCAGTATAGTCGTGTTATTATACTGACACTAATGTTATTATAATGAATTTTAACATACAATTACAAACCTTGAGACGTATATTATATAACATACACTTTAATATTCACAGTAATATCAAAACTTTGTGTTCAGTAACACATCTAATTTTACAAAATACAAGACAATAATTTTTTACAGTAATATTAACTTTTGAACGATTTTAGTGAAAATGCGATCCACAAATTGAAAATTTACAAAATGAAGAGTAGTAATACACAATCGACAGTTGAATTACGACACTCAATACCAATTGTGAATATCAAGACATCGAAATTCTAAACTCTATTTTTCGGTTCATGTACAATAACATGAACTTTTTTCACAGTGACACAACCAAAGAATACTCGACTGTCTTGTGCAACAAAAAAATCAACAAAATCGAAATATATAATACTTTAATTTAATACTAATAAATGAGTTCTCTTGAATCTTGGTTATAAGGTTAATGCCCACTTTAACAGAATTAAATCCCTAATTGTTATTACTTTTTTACTATGTTACTATTTTTTTAGTGATCATGTTACTATTGTTATTTTTTAAATATTAATATTTTGTCGATGGAGTCCAGAGTAAACTGAAATAGTAAATTGAAATTGTATTTTATAGAATGTAATGAGTTTGAAATTTAAATATGAAAGGTTTTTGCTAAATGTCAATTTCTTGTTTTTTGGATAAGGAAATATTGTAACTTGGAAGATTGTAGCCGGATTTGAAGGCGATTATGAAGGAGATGTATATAGTTGATTATTGTGTTTATAAACGTCGTTTATAACATTCCTACAGAGAAGGGTTACAATAATAAAATTGAAAAAAAAAACGGAATTAAAACCAAATAAGTTTTTTTGACGGATTTATCTCCAAATAAGTCCATATAGGAGGATCGGCCTTTAAATTTTTCTATTAAAAAATTAAATCATTGACCTATTACAATCCACCCAAATTTATTTAAAAAATCAAACTTTTGGCCTACCCACCANGCATTCTGGATATGCTTGATGGGCACAGTGCAAAGCGCGGCATTGACTCTAGTGGCTGAGCATAGTCACCCTGGCGTCTGGGCGATTGGCTTCGACTCCAGGCTCCTCGCTCCCGTTTACATAGTAAGCCTCTTCCTCTTCTTTTGTATAAAGTTTCTTTATGCCTCCAAAAATCAATCCATTTTGATTCGGCTGTCAATGTTTCAGGGTATAGTAGCCTCCGCAGTGGGTTACTACGTTCAAGGCGTGGTGATGAAGACAAGGGGTCCAGTGTTTGTAACAGCCTTCAACCCACTGTGTATGATCATTGTTGCTGCTCTCGGATCTGTTGTTCTAGCCGAGAAACTTCATCTTGGAAGGTATATACCAAACCAAACCAAGTGTTCCAAATTCCCTTTTCTTTTTTTCTTTTTTTGCATTGGTCCATTCATCCATTGTAGTTGTGTTCTCCGATGTGGCCCAACACACTCTTTCCACCAATTAATATTATAAGTGGTATTATATGAATGGCTACAACTTATAAACGTCAATTTGAATGTTTAATTCAAAAAAAATGGACTAATCTTTTCCCCTTTAATGTGTGAATGTTTTTTTTTCCTGATCTTACCTCAGTGTAATTGGAGCAATTATCATAGCAATCGGCCTTTATGCTGTTGTTTGGGGTAAAAGCAAAGATCTTATCGACTCCCAGCCACCAAGTGATGAAAAGGGTGAAGCCAGTGAACTTCCGATCACCAAAACGGATAGCATTAAGCTGGTGATTTTCGATGATAAACACGCAGGGAAATCAGAAAAGAAGTAGTTTTCTCAATGCCTTAACCTTCTGGAGACTCCTCCACATTTAGTGGAAGGAGTTGTTGCTAAAAATCAAATATGTAGTGAAATAGAATAAGAGATATGTCATCATCAATATTGAGAGGAAGTAGTGTGTATTGTTCAATTTTGGCAATGTATCTGTTTATTCCATATATAAAAGTGAACTGTTTAAGGTGTCGGACAAAATTCAAATTAGTTTCTTGCCAAAGTCATACATAAATTCCACATTAAAAGATGGATTTGACTTCATTTTGTAATTTCTTTTTTGGCCTTTACGGGAAATAATTATCATTATCTATGAGCATCTTCAATAGTCTCTCTCTCAAATAAATTGTACTATTGGAGATACTATGAACCCATCCATCATTTCAGAACTATCAAGCATGCTTACACCGTCTCTATTTAATGGAAGTTCTGTAGGAAGGGGCGGAGGGAGGCATGAGCGAGGGTGGGTAAGTGTCCTTAAAAAAAAAAATTAATAGTTCGATAAAAAAATATATATTTATATAATATATTATTTGTATCTACCCAAAACCGAAGATAAAAATATTATGTCCACATTATTTACCCAAAAGAAATAAAAAATTAAGCGTATTTAAAATAAAAAAAATTGAGCTCACAATTATCAAACTTATTAAGAAGTGAAAATTGAGGGTGAGTCTTCCTAGATGGACTTATAATGACTTGAGACATGGAAGTAAACTTATTTTGAGGTATTTAAACTTATATGTAGGTACTTAAATTCACTTATTTTTTAAATCTCAAAATTACTCAAAACGGTATTAGTTTTGTCCAGTTATGTAAAGTCACATAGGTTAGATCATTAAGGTATATATATGGAAACCCTTGATTGAGTGATATATGTGAACCATTTATTAAATATTTATGATAATTAACAGAAGTTTTAAATGGAAATTATATATTATGGTAATTATTTTCAGGAAGCTGAATGTACAAATAAATTGTTGGTCTATTAAGTCAAAATCAGATCACAATTTTTTTTTTACAATAGTAATACATAATATAGGGATGCTGAACAATGTCAACAGAATTCCGTAACACGAATGTTAATATATAGTAACATTCATTTTGCTATATAATTAAAGTTACAATTAGGGTCATAATATCAGTATAGTCGTGTTATTATACTGACACTAATGTTATTATAATGAATTTTAACATACAATTACAAACCTTGAGACGTATATTATATAACATACACTTTAATATTCACAGTAATATCAAAACTTTGTGTTCAGTAACACATCTAATTTTACAAAATACAAGACAATAATTTTTTACAGTAATATTAACTTTTGAACGATTTTAGTGAAAATGCGATCCACAAATTGAAAATTTACAAAATGAAGAGTAGTAATACACAATCGACAGTTGAATTACGACACTCAATACCAATTGTGAATATCAAGACATCGAAATTCTAAACTCTATTTTTCGGTTCATGTACAATAACATGAACTTTTTTCACAGTGACACAACCAAAGAATACTCGACTGTCTTGTGCAACAAAAAAATCAACAAAATCGAAATATATAATACTTTAATTTAATACTAATAAATGAGTTCTCTTGAATCTTGGTTATAAGGTTAATGCCCACTTTAACAGAATTAAATCCCTAATTGTTATTACTTTTTTACTATGTTACTATTTTTTTAGTGATCATGTTACTATTGTTATTTTTTAAATATTAATATTTTGTCGATGGAGTCCAGAGTAAACTGAAATAGTAAATTGAAATTGTATTTTATAGAATGTAATGAGTTTGAAATTTAAATATGAAAGGTTTTTGCTAAATGTCAATTTCTTGTTTTTTGGATAAGGAAATATTGTAACTTGGAAGATTGTAGCCGGATTTGAAGGCGATTATGAAGGAGATGTATATAGTTGATTATTGTGTTTATAAACGTCGTTTATAACATTCCTACAGAGAAGGGTTACAATAATAAAATTGAAAAAAAAAACGGAATTAAAACCAAATAAGTTTTTTTGACGGATTTATCTTCAA